GTCTTCATTTAATTCGACTATTCCTTCTCTGCTGAACAGAACGAACTGCTGAACAGACTCTTCCCTTCGATTCAGCCATTCGGCTAAACCGAAGGGAAGTAAAGTGAGTCGAATGCAGCCGATGTACGGCTAAAAATAGCCTTACAGGGCTGCTGTGATTGGCTGAACAGGCTTCGGCTCAGTTCACTTCGGCTACCTTCGGCAGCTTAGCGAATAACCCCTTTTGAAAGGAATTGTTTGGTACCATATATAAATTTAACTGGGTAGACAGATGAAAAAAATGAGAAACTATGATTATGTTAAAATAATATATTAACCACAAATGAACATTATATCAAGGCCATTTCTTTGTTTTCTTTAATTTCCAAAGCTTCACTAGGGCAATGATATCTGAAATCCCTGGTTGGCATTAAAAACACTACAACGCTTTACATGTTTCCAATTAGTGGCTGTTGTTAACTACGAATGGCCACTTTGAAAGTACATAGTTCAAGTCTCCCACATAGAGCACACTGCTTCATCCAGGCATGTGACATGTATTTGGACACATTGATGCTTTGCTTACCAAAACTGCTTACCAAATGCTCATGTAGACCTGTGTTTTGCTGCAAGACCTTCCTAGACTCAACTGCCCATCTTGTCTCATCTTCCTGCTATGTCCAGCACTTGAAAAATCATTAATTAATGAATTAATTGATCAATCTCTGAGAATACTAAATCCAACATTTAATGTCTTGTGTCAGTAACAACACTTAAAAATTCACAGTGATCAACCTTAACCAATTATTAATCCTTATTGGAATATTAATATATGGTTGGTCCACTGCTTACCATCAATGAACTTGTAGGCTTCCATGTGTCCTTGATAGACAGCTCTTTCATTCTTGTGTGCAGCTATGCAGCAGCCTAGATCGTAAGGCAGCGTGTCTGTCACTGACACCAACTATCTGTAAGGTTCATTACTCTTTTCTAAAAAAAAAAAGAATCAGTATTTCCTCAATTTTTAGGAAGGGGGTCTAAACACCTGGTCTTGAAGTGGTTAAATAATGTATTGTTGTTTAAACACATAAAGCTTAGTATAAATGTACAGAATCTGAGTGAATTTCACACTTGCAAGTCCTTGTGCTCACAATAAACTTAGTAAGATTACAACCCCAATTCCACGTTTTACGTTGAGGATCATTATTCTGAAATTGTTTGACAATTTGTAGATGCAGCTTTTCACAGATTAATGAACCTATTCCCATCTTTACTTCTGAGACAATCTGACTTAGAAACCCGCCGACAATCGTACGATTCTCGGCGGGTTTCCGAGCATGCTGGTTTGACAAAAGACGTGCGACCGTACAGTAGAAATGGTCGCACGTCTTCGTTCACACTGCTCGATTCTCGTATGATCGCGGGATGTCCCGCGATTCTCGTACGAGAATCGAGCAGTGTATGGGCACCTTAAGATGCTCTTTTTATACCCAATCATGTTACTGACCTGTTGCCAATTAACCTAGTTAGTTGCAAAATGTTCTTTCAGCTCTTCCTTGTTAGTACCACTTACTTTGCTAACTTTTTGTTGCCCTGTCCCAACTTTTTTGAGCCATGTTGCTGCCATCAATTTCACAATTATCTTATTTTTTTCTTAAAATGGTACATTTTCTCTGTTTAAACATTTGATATGGTTTCTATCTTGAATAAAATATGGGCCTTTGAGATTTGCAAATAATTTAATTCTGTTTTTATGTTGATTTTTACACAACTTTTTTGGAATTGGGGCTGTAGAATGTTCCAACTTTTTTGGAATTGGGGCTGTAGAATGTTGTAAAATTGGGGCTGTAGAATGTAGATCTCTGCTGACAGGTCCTCTAAAAGAGGACCTGTCGCATTATATTTGCAATTACATAGGGGGCTTGTTACCCCTATGTGATAGCAATAAAGTTGAGTGAAAAAAAATTAAAAATTAAAGTAACAGATAAAAATGCAAAAATAAATGTAAAGTCCCCCACCACCCATGTGCACCCACATACAATAAAACACGTGTCTGATGCGCCTAGGTGCAAAAACAAAAATTGCACCATGCATGTTACATATCGTCGCAAGCTTCGGAGTGAGATAAATAATTCTAGGCCCATCAATCACTGTTAACACTAAACTGATGAGCAGTGAAAGCGTTTAAAGTGTTGCCTATGGGAAATTTTGGTTATTGTAGTTTTTCCGATTTCACGGACGCACACAATTTTAAGGCTTGACATGTTTGGTATCTATTTACCCGATGTGACCCCATCTTTTATATTTTACAAAATAAATGGGTTTTATATTCTGTTTTTGTGCACTAAATTTAATTTTAGTGTATTTTATCCTAAAAATACTTGTTTGATAAACATTTGTGCAAATACTGTACAACATAGAAAATTTCAACTAGCATCTTTTTATTCTACAGGGCCTCTGCTTTCTGAAAATATATAATTGTTTGGGGGTCTGAAGCTTTTTTCTAGCCAAAAATTTAGATTTTATCATGTATATGTGTATTTGCTAGGGGGCACAGGCACTTTGCAATGTCTCTCTGAAACAAAGTGTCTATCTGATATTAAGTGTTGTCATCAATTTCACACTTAGAAAATGCACTTGGAAAAGGCACAAAAATAACAAAATCGCTCCATACAGACTGCAGGTAATCCTGTTCACCCCATCTACTTCTCTCTCTTCTAACTCCATCATTTAAAAAGCCTTCTTCACCACCACCACCCACTAACTCACTCACTGCCCAGGACATTGCCATTCATTTCAAAAACAAAAGAGATGCAATCCGGGATGAAATTCCCACTGTCCATTCACCTTCCCCTATTAATGTACCAGACCCACCATCACATTTGTTACTTTCGCCCCAAACACTCCACTGAAACCGTTTAAAGCTCAATCTTTCAAAAACTGAGCTCATGGTATTCCCCACCCCTCCCACGTGCACCCTCCTCCAACTTTTAATCATGATTGAGAACACAACTATCCAAGCCTCCCCCCATGACAAGGTGCTAGGTGTCATCCTTGACTCGGACCTCACCTTTCTTCACCACATCCAATCCCTATCCAAATCCTGCCATCTTCAACTTCACAACATCTCCAAAATACATCCCTTCCTCACCAAGGAAACTGAAAAACTACTCATCCACTCACTTGTTATTTCTCGTCTTGACTATTGGAACTCTCTCCTCATTGGCCTATCTCTACACAGACTATCCCCCTACAGTCTATCATGAATGCTGCTGCTAGACTCATCCACCTAACCAACCGCTCAGTATCTGCAGTCCCTCTCGGTCAATCCCTCCACAGGCTTCCAATTGCCCAAAGGAAAAAATTCAAAATATTAACAACCATTTAAAAAGCCATTCACAACTCTGCCCCAGGCAACATCCCAAACCTTGTATCAAAGTATAACCCTAACCATCCCCTCCATTCCTCACAAGACCTCCTACTCTCTAGCTCTCTCATCAACTCCTCCCATGCTCGCCTTCAGGACTTCTCTAGAGTCTCTCCCAGTCTTTGGAGCTCCTTACCCCAACCTGTCTGTCTATCTCCCTCTCTGGCTGCCTTTCATTGATCACTAAAGACTCAGCTCTTTTTAGGGAAGCCTATAACACTTCAAACTAACCACTGAACTCTTTCTCAAACAATTTATCTCTACACAGCTACCTCCTCATGTATCACTTGCCCCCCCTCTTAGATTGCAAGCCATCATGGGCAGGGCCATCCTTACCATCTTGTCTTGAATAGTATTGTAACTATAATGTGTTCCTTAAATTGTAAAGCGCTGCACAAACTGTTGGCGCTATATAAATCCTGTATAATAATAATGTGTGTGCAAATGTAAGAAATTGCTTCGGACGGCAAGTGGTTAAAGGACAAAGTGGGCTTTAATTTGATTTGACATACAGTATGTATATATAATCTCTTATTTTTTTTACTAAAAATACAATTAGTGTAGCTAACAAAATGTAAATCATAATAAATAATTTTATTTGTCCTGATTTATAGGGTATATCATATGTCTGGGATATGTCTGTTTATTTTGAGAGTTATAGGTCACAGTGAAATACAATTTTAGTTTAGAACATTTTTAGAATGTAGTATGTTTGTCTCCTATCTCTAATAGATTCCTTCACATTTTATTTTATTTTTTTTGCTAAATTTTTTTTTTTTACTTTTTTCATTTTTTACATTTTAAAAACTTTATTTTTTTATTTTTAAATTGTATTTTTTTTTAAAACTAGGGACACTAAGGGTTTTTTTTATTTACAGGGGCTTTGCTACTTGGTATCTCTGAGGAGAGAGAATACAGTTTGTAACACACAGCAGGCTTGCAGCTGCACAACTCAGTGAGCTGCTTTCGGCTCTGTGGCTGTCACAGCTCTGTGATCACAGCGATCAGCTAGACCACTTAATCTGCTGTTGAGAGTCTGACTCGGACCCTGAGGGAACCAGCAACAGCAGTAACTCCATGAGCGCTGGTCCCTCCAGGGTTTACCCCTGCAACAGGGGTCGTTAATTAACTGAACGATCATGATGAAATAATCCCATAATTGATCAGGAAGGCGTTAAACAAACATTGCTGTTTTTGTAGCTAGTCATAATGTTTAGCCAAGAAATCATTAATATGCTGGATACTTTCATAACCAACTTACCTGATCTTTCCTCTTAAAAAATAATCAGATAAAAAATAAAAATCATTGTTACAGAAGCTCATACAATATTCATAAGCACGAGCAAGTGCCTTTTTATTGACCTGACCTTGGAGCTGTTTTAGTAGAAATTAGATTTTTTTTTCTGAAAATGCCTGTGCAGCTTTGGTTTCCTGTGATAGCTGCAAAAACTCATTTTGGCAGATTGACTAGGACAAATATGTGTTTATGTATCAAAGAAGCACATGAGCAGGAAAAAAACAAACTATGTGTTATGCTGTTCATTGTCCACTCGTGGCTATGCTGTTTGGTGATTATATATTTAATTATATACAGGTTTTTCCAAATGCTTCAGAGACAGATCTATGTCACATCAACATCTTACCTTGAGTTAATCAAGACTTTTAAGAATCTCTTAGAACGTAAGAGGCTCGAGCTATTAACCAGCAAGAACAGATACATGGTTGGACTAGAAAAGCTGGATTTTGCTTCTTCACAAGTGAGTAAAAATATATCTGAAGCTGAACAAGGTAATGCCCTTCCTACTGTTTCTCCTGCACAAGTAGATAGAAGTGTGGCTTCCAGAAAGTACTTTGTAAACAGGGGTTGAAATTAGCAGTAGCCTAGGGTTATAAAAAATTCAAAGCAGATGGGCCAAATTTCTCCTGTTTTTAATTAGATTATAATGTACTCTCATTAGTAAGCAAGGCAGCCAGGCTGGCACTGAAATCACAGGAGCAAAGCTCCTGCCATGTAGGGGAGGAATAAACTTCTGTTATGGCAGCACTTGTTGTGAAAACAGCAGGATTCTCAGTGACTTTTTTCCACTTTTGGTTACCAAGCAGAATAAAAGTTTTCAGACCACATCAGCTAACACAGTGGAGAGAAATGGCACAGTCCCAAAATAGATCTGTGTGCATATCATTTGGTAGAAGCAAACATCTTATTAACATGGAAAAAGTGCTATTTTCCTGAAAGGAAAAGGGAACAGTATAAAATTCCATTCTCAGTGTTGGTACAATGTTTGCTAATTAATTTCCATTGTTTCTAATGCCACTTATTTTAGAATACCTTGGACACAGCTAAGAATGGGAAGCAGGATGGATTTTGCTGTAACCTCCTGTTCCTATCCAATAACTACAATGCCAGGCTGTAATTGTAGCAATACTGAGGCTTCTCTTTCTCCCTTTATGTCTTATATGATCTTTAAAATAATGAAGGCTCTTAAAGTGCCTATCTGTGGTTACAAAGATTTGCAAGAATGAGAAGGAATAAAGGTAATTATATTGTGGGGCATACGATTTCACTAGCAGCATACTGAGGACACTCTGTGATGATGAGGGAGGGTGGTTCAGCCCCAAAACATAAAGATATTGTTTTACCAACAAATAGCCAACTGACATGGACATCCTTTTACAGCAAACATGTTGCTAAAAAAGATCACCATGGAAGATTATGGATTCATTATTTTAATAAAGTGTATGTGTCAGTCTGTGTAGGACTAAATGCTCAAAGGGGCAAGTGAGTGTATCTAAACCCAAGAAGAAGTGTCTTTCTTTCAGGCTTTATTTCCATTTATTTTTAACTGATGATCCTGCCAGTAATGTACTTCCTGCCCTAGCATGACAATGCTCACTCACTGTACTGTATTTATAGAAAGGCTGTGTTGTCCCCCTAGGACATAAAGTATGTTAGCACTACAGAACACCTTCCTCTTCTCCATACCATAGGGGAGGTGTTCTGTGTTCTGTGTTCTACAGAGGTAAACAGTGAAGCAAGATGGGGCTGCTTGAGGTAACACTGCAGACACAGGACAGTACTGGATGTCTTTTTTATGTTTCAAACAGTATACCAAAATGCTTTAAATTGTATACTAAACAGACTAAAAGGGAGCAAATTAGAGATGGGGTATTAGGGTTTAGAACTGCTAGTTATGGAAAAAATATTATAATGTCATAATTCTTATTTTAAAGCAATGCGTGACCAATGAATTTGCTAGAATCTACTAGCAATGATGATGTCCCTGTATCATTTTGTTAAAACCTGTCTTTTAAAGCTGAAACTAACATTGTTGGATGCACTGATAATTCAGTTGGATGCCATAGGTCTATGTCATTCTTCGTGTTCTATCTGCACAAGCAGACCTCATTACTAGTTTAGCCACATACACAATGAGCCAGACTGAACTCCTTTTCCAGAGCCTGTGTGAGGTGTCATGATTTGTGTATGTGGGACAGGTTTGACTCCTATTGAGCTAAGTTGGCAAGCTCATGAATACTGCTTCAGACATAAAATGCACAGTAATTGCACTATAATACACACAGTATTTTTTGCCAGTTTGCTAGATTGCATCACCTCTGTAAATAAAGCCAGGGAAACACACAACAAAATCTTAGAACCACCAGCAGTAACAAGCAAATGCATCGAGTCATTAATGTTTAAAGAAACGCACTGCACCTTCATGGAAAAATGTTCTCCGAAATTGACTGGGTTTTTCTTGTCAAGTAAAACCGGCCACCTGTCCATCAAACTGGCTGAAACCAATCTTATTCAGAATAAATAGCCTCAGATTTTGACATGGTATTTCAATTATCCTTGAATTTTGAAATGTGTACATTTCGATTTGCACTTGGTGGACATATTCATTGCTATCACACAAACATTTGCTTCTAATTCTGTTATTTCTATTGCAAATTTAAATACTGACACTGTATAAGCATGCTGCTTTATTACTATGCAATGATAGTCTGTCCATACATATAAACCGTAAAAACACAGCAGATAATGTGCACGCATACATTACCATTTTGTATGTACATAGTTTATTACGAAAGCGCAGTAGTCACAATTTTGTCTATTTGTCTCACCTCTTTGGACTTTCTGCATAACCAAGTATATATTTATGAATTCATAGTTATAAAGAGGCAGTGAGATGGAATTGTGCTAAAATGCATATTATGGGGAACACTGATTTAGGAAGTACACCATGGTAATGATTAACTAGCTAATTGAATGTATGATTGGGCCTTTTAAAAAATTAAAATGGAATTGTTAGTGCGTAAACCTTTAAAAATAAACTTCTCTTATTTGTTCCCTTTCAGTCTTTTAATTTGTATAATTGGAAGTGTCTTGTTATATCAGATAAGGGCAAAACAATACCTATTGATCCTGTCCCAGATTCAGTGAGCTTGTAACTTTGTTTGGTAAGCTGGCCACACAGTGCCTCTGCTGCAATGACATCCCAAAAGTGTTATTAGCCTCATCCAGTTCATCTCTGTGGACAACAGAACACCTCCCCCTATGATATGGAGATGATGAGAGGGGGAAGTGTTCTGTATTCCAAATCAGAAGTGAGCAGCCTGGGGTGCACCTCCTCAATAGATACTGTACAGGACAGGAAGTGTGGTAATAACAGGATCACCTCGTAATAATAATGGAAAAAAAGAAAATGAATGCATCCACCGCATCAAGGACTGGTAAGCTGCAATACATTACATTTTTGTTGTTGGGTTTAGATAAACTTTAACTATTAAATACAGTTGCCACTATACCCTTATTTAAGTTATTTTAGGCTTATATTAAAAATCAAAGTAGATCTATACTTAACCACTTCTCATCCGGCCGCGGTAACTAAACGCTCAGATGGTGGCTTCTTCAATGCTGGTGGGCGTTTTAAAACGCCCTACGGCTTGTCTGTGCTCCTCATGTCCGAATTATTTTCACTTTTAATGAAATTTGGATGGATCCAAATTTTTGTTAAAGGAGCATTCGGATTTGTTCGCATTCAGACGCGTTAGAATTTGGACATTCTGATGTATCCGAATATCACAATTTCCGGAATTTGTACGAATATCCATTTGGAACAAAATTTAATGTACATGACTAGTAGAAACTGTAGTTGAGTGGAAATACAATGTTTTAAGGCCAGGTATATTCTCGACATAAATTAGATTGTGAAATTTGTATAACTTTTATCAAATCTAATCATTAATTGTAAAGCGCTGCGCAAACTGTTGGCGCTATATAAATACTATGTAATAATAATAATAATATTGTTTTAAAACATGGAAGATGGAAATGTATTATTTAATCACTATGCTAAGCATTACATGTCCTAGGAAATCAGAATGAGTTATAAATCAATTATAAAGACTAAGAAGAGCCTGCCCATTAAGACTATTCCGATTTTTGGTTTTTTGAAAGATGGTTGATTGCAATGGCTCTTTGCTCAACTTTTACTCTTGTTTTGTAAGTTCATAAATAAACCTCAAAGAGTATTAATATGATAGTGCCAGAGTGATATTTCATTGCAATATTTGTTTGCAAACCTTGTGTTTATTTTTTGGCTCATCAGATAGCAATCATGCAACAAGAGCTGACAGAGCTAAAGCCTATGTTGATTGAACGAAGCAGCGAGACGGAGGAGCTGGTAAACATTATCGCAGATGAGACATTGGAGGTGGAAGCAGTTAAAAGTTTAGTCGAAGCAGATGAGGCAACAGCTAACAAGGCTGCTCTGGAAGCCAAAGCCATTAAGGTATGTTGACATAACATATGCAAGCTTCACAGGGGACACAATTGTAAATTAGATTTAATATTGATCAGGCAATACAAAATCAAGAAAATTGGACACACATGTCTGTAAAATTGTGGCAGTGGATTGAGTGTTAAAATTAGAACAGAATATCGGATAGACAGAGGCTTGCCTGCTGCTGCCATGATGGGGGCTATTGATCAAAAGCACAGCAAACGGCTGCAAGTTTGCTCATTATGGTCCCTGATGGGTTACAAAATGTATCATTTTGTTTACAAAGAATATTAAGTTCCACTTCGAGGGGGGAATGCAAATGTACTATATGAGAATAAACCGAAGAGTTCTACAAGCAGAAATATAGCAGAACTAGCTTAACCAGGCAATAGATCTAGTCAAGAGAATAACTGTATAGGTAGAAGTAAACTGCATGACCTTTGGAAATCAATGAGCATTAAAAATAATAGTCGTAATAATAATAATATTAATAAAAAAACACTATGGATGGGTGATGACCAGCCCTTTCAACTATGTATAGTAGTTGAAAGGGCTGGACATGTATACTACATAGGGCTGGACATGTATACTACATATACTAATTAACAAAAAATACATAAATAAAAATAGAACAGAAAAAGATTTACCCCGGTTTTTAAATCAACTTTTACTTATTTAACAGGTCTTCAAATACAAGACAACGGACAATAACAGTATAAAAAGTACAGTTGTGAAACCAGGATTATTAGGTGCCAATACTAGGAATAATAATCGAAGTATCTTAAGTCAGCCCTACATTTTACAGTGTGTCCCCACTGACACAGATCGCTACAGCCTCTAGGGAGAAACAGCTGACAGTCGGTGAGGCTGCAGCGGGGAGAACCCCTGTCCCAGCAGATAACTGTGTGATAACCGTCCCGGGCACAGTTATCTGCTGGGACAGGGATTCCATTTCTCTTGCCTTGCGCTAGCACCAGGACTGCTGCCACTGTTAGCGGGGGGCACACGCGGGGCAAGTGATAACCTAGGGGGGGCGATTGCCCCCCTGTAGCGACACCACTGGACATGCCCCTCCTCTCTGCCCAACAGTTTGACTGATGGGAAAAACTTCCTGCAACCAGGAAGTTCAGGACAGAGGATCACTTCTGGGACCTGAGTCGGTGGCAGCAGGCCCCTTTAAACAGACTCCTAGTGGCTAATTTACAATTGTAAAGCCGGCTGTTGGCTTCACAATGGAAGCAATCCTGGTTGCTCAGCTGCCCTTCCCATGGGCCGGTAAAGTGAAACGCCCCCCTGTCGTGTTTGTTCTGGGGAGGCGAGCAGCAAACTTCCATTCACAGATTTCCTCTCCATTCTATGGGACTGGGAACTATGCGTATTGCATCATTTCTGGTACCATAGCTGTCATTGCTCGGCTTCAGTAGATCTGCACACAAATAGATTATTTAGAGTGGAAAGGTGATACTAGGGGTCTTCTGCACCCCAAGTATCACCCTTTAGAGGACCTGTCACTGTCAATATCCTATCACATGGGGGGCTTGTAAGCCACCCTATGTGATAGCAGTTAAAGTTTAAAAAAAGTTTAAAAATAATATTAAATAAAATAAATTTTAAAATAATTTAACAAATGTTTAAAGTCCCCAGTCCCCCGCGAGCACGCACACATTCACGTAAACACGCGTCGGGTGTGCTTACATATGAAAACAACAATCATGCTACTCATGTTGGGTATCGCCGTTCACGCCAGAATGAGAGCAACAATTCTAGTACCAATAGTTTTGTGTATCCCTAAACTGATGACCTGTAGGGGCTTTCAAAGCACCATCTATGGACTTTTTGGGGTACTGAATTTTGTCGCCGTTTCACGGACGCACACAGATTTTAACCGGGGCATGTTTGGCATCTATTTACTTGTCATAACATTATATTTTATATTTAAAAACAAAATTGCTATTATATTGTGTTTTGGGGCACTAAAATTACCTTAAGTGCATTTTTCACTAAATGCTTGGGATTGATAAAAAGTTGCGCTAATATCGTGCAACATAAGAATTTTCAACTACCATCATTTTATTTACTATAGGGTCTTAGCTTTCAGAAAATATATAATGTTTGGGGTTTGAAGTAATTTCCAGGCCTAAAATGTAGATTATAACATTTGTGCAAAAAATGGGGAAAAAAAGGCATTGGCAGCGAATGGGTTAATACTACTTTAAATCCTGAGTTTAGTGTCACTTTAAGGCTAAACACCAGACAAACAGCTAAATTCACAGATGAAATACATGGCTGGTAAACCTGCCAAAGGATTTTTCCATCCATTTGTGAGATTTGCACAGTTCTGCCACAAAGCATAGTCCTGTCTGGAAGGGTAGGAGACTTGATTTTCCTCTACTGGACTTAACTAATATTTACAGGTCTTGTCCCTCTCCTGGTCTTTGACAGGGCAGTAAAAAGAGAAGCAGCAATCGGACATGCTCATCTCTCTGTCACTCTTTCTCCTTCTATCAGCATGTTGCTTGTTAGCGCATGAACTGTTTGGATCACTGTGCTCCTTCTCTTTTCCCCAGTCTGAGCATTGCTGCACAGCAGTATTGCAGGAGCCTGATACCAAGGCAAATTCAGGTACTTACACTGCTTGCATGTAAAAACTATACATTTCATTGTGTTTTATCAATATTAAACTACAATATTTTGTCTCTTTAATATCTGACCCAAAGTTCTGCTTTAATAGTACTACTACTGTTTTTTTAAAACTTAAAAATGTTTTATTTTTCTTTGCTTTAATAAAATTCTCTCTGAGTACTATTCTACTACAAAGACATTACATCTTGTAATATCTCATAGCCTGCCTTCAACACCTATTGAGATAAGCATAAAATATATCTAAAGCTAGATGTTTTCCACCATCATTGCTTCTATTTTACCTTGGTACAACGATGCCTGTGAGCAACAAGCCAGCAGGGAGCAAAATAAAACAACAGAGGCATGTTCAAAGTGGGTTTAAATAGTATATTTTAGCTATGCAGAGCATCTTTTTTTCCCTGGCATGTCGTGGTAACAAACTTTACCAATGGAAAGTAAAGAATGATGCAACAAATTAATAAGTTGCTATTCACTGATGACAATTAAGGTTTTACATGTCACCACTGCTTATGAAATGATGTACTTTCTTAATTTCCCATAATTAATTTTTCCCCAATTTCCTACTTCATCACATTAGCCAGGCAGCCTTTAATGCAATACAATGGTAGCTGTCAAATATTTTATCCAGTTAATAAAATGCTGCATTAGAAAGCAACATTTTCATTTTAGATGAGAAAACAACAGCATAAATTCTAAACATTTTGACACTAATTGACAAAGATTTCTGGCTTTCTAAATATTGTGAGTGGATTGCATTCATGCTGGCACACAGAAATCTACCACATTAAATCACATTTTATTGTCACATATAATGACCTTTAAATAACTGAGGAAATGCAAAGCCTTGATAAGAGCCATGTATTGGAGGCTGTCCATATATTTGTCACTGGAAATATGAGAACACTTATAAAGGAGTTATTTTTTATACACCATGAATGTTTTTATTGTTTATTTCCTTGATCACTAAATGATTAAAATAAATTGCTGCCCCCATAAAATCATATAAAAACAGTGCGGCTGTCAAATAGGCAGGTTGCATAAATAATGCAAATATCACAGTTAGTTTATGTTGGCTATTAAATAAAAAGTATCACTAATTGTTAAAATACTATGCACATTTGCTGCATATTTTTCAGGGAAGTAGCATAATTTGCAATCAAATTACCTCCAGAACAACTTATTTATAGAAGCACAATATGTATAATGTAGATTGCTGAAAGAATTACTAGAAATATATTGTAGGCACCCACATACAGTACAAATGCTTTAAGAAAAAAATAATAATATATTCATTATTATCTATGCACATATTATTTCCTGCCAGAAAATATGGAGACAAATGGTGCAGATATAGCTGATCTGCATTCAGGGACAGATTTAGGCTTCCTTTAGCAGCACACATCAGTAACATTTTCTTGCTTAACGGACTCCAGTCAAAAAAATACTAACCCTTGCAGTGGGGCTACCCCCACACTGCGAGGGTTAAGTGCTCATTTGTGTCTAGATTAAAAAAAGTTACACTTACCTAATCCTTGTAGCTGGCCGGCTGTGACAGTGCTCCCTTCAGCCTGTTTCCTCCTCCACTGCGGTGCTGGTATGTCCCTTGGCATCGCTGGAGCTATTTAGTTCCATGGAGATAGAAAAAAACATCCTCAGGTTGTAGGTAGGAATAAAGGAATGATTGGCTTCTCCCTACAGGAGCCTGTACAGGAAGCTGTATGCATCCTGTACACTATTACTGCAGAACTGCCGGGAGGGATCATCAGGCAGAGACCAGCAAATACCCTGGTCGTCTTGTTTTCGCCATTAGGGATGAAAATAAAAGCTGATGGCAGGAAGCCATATGTGCATAACGCATCCTGTACACTAATACTGCAGAAGTGCTGGGATAGCCCATCAAGGAGAAACCATGAAGTACCCTGGTCTTCTCATTGTCATCATTAGGGGGGAAATAAAAGCTGATGGCAGGATCACTAGGTAATTGGAACATATAACAAAAGAATTAGAATAATGAGCACATAGGAATTCAATATTCTTGCTAAATAGAAACTAAATCTTTAAAAGTTTAATATTGGTTTACTAACACTTTAAGCTACCCGGGGGGCTACAAGATAACTGGCCTAGGGGAAAGGATGTATAAATCCAAACCTGTTTGCATCTTAAAGGTATATTCTGTCAAACACAGAATTGCTGCATTTAGAATGCCTTGAGGACACATCCTAGATGCTAATTATCTTGCCATTTCAGCATGGCATTTATATTCGGCACCTGTTAAGGTGCCCACACACCTTACAATTATCTGCAGATTTTCTGTGGTCAGATGAAAAAAGTGCAACAGATTGGCCCAGGTGGAGATTACTCCATCC